TATTTTGGATATTCACTCTAGCAAAAGGAAAAAAAAAAAAAAAACAATGAGGGTCAAGATGTTAACAATAAATATGTAGAAATCCAACCAGATTAATAAATCTACACGAATATTTTAAATAATGATCCTTGACAGCGTGTCCTGTAGGATAAATCCAAGCTAAACCATTGCAAAAGATGATTCATAACGAATAAGATAACCATAGTTACGTCGATAATAGACACTAGACAAACATTACCTTTTTGTGCTGGACATATATATATATTGTTTTATTATTCTAGCTCCTAATTGTCCTGGGCTTTCCTTTTTATATTCTTTCATTTTTCTATGATAAAAGTTTGGTTTCTCATTAAAAAGATAATATAGACAAACAAACTAACTTGAAAATTAAACCGATAGCAGTTATGGAAACCACAAGATTCTGCAAAAATGCAGAAAGAAAGTATGAAAACTCAAAATTCAACATTCAATTAGTTTAACTGACGATAAAGTAAGACCCCACTGGGTAGCATTTTTTTTTCAAGTTTTCGGTTTTAAAAATTGAACTTACTTACCAACAATATTTCTACCTTTTTTCTGAAAAACCCTATAAAAATCATGATCAAATTATGATAAATAAAAATAAAAATAAGCTAATAATTTAAAATTTTGTCTACAAATTTACAATAGTAAACAAAATTATTGTTAAGGGAGTACAGTACATGTTTAGAACTCTTTAAGCGCTAGAGAAGAATATTAAAATAGAGGGAACTGAAAAGGTGGTAGCTAATAGAATGGAAGGAAATAGATGCATTTTCACAATCGGGTAAGAATTAGAAATGTCTAAAGATATACTATTAGAGAGAAAAACTACATAAAAGGCCTTCTCAAAAGGGATTAGGGAAATCAACGTCCTGTAAACTTTCACTAGACTTTTTTTGACAATAGACATGCATAATTTCGAACAGAAAACAAAAAACACATGAATTCCATTCAGAAAATATTAATTCAATAACACTGAAAAAAACATGCTTGAACCTTGAGGGATGAGCACAACTTCTTCCATTCTGCAAAATCTTCAGTTTTTTCTGGTTTTAGGCTTGAAAGTACTTTGATCTTCGCATCACGGACCTGACCAAGAAAAGGATAAAATGCACCAAGTACTTTAAGAAGTTGATTAAATTATCAGCAATCTCCAAACAAATAGTCCAGGAATTTAAGGAATTCAAAAGGGAGATATAAGAAGCATAGAACACGGACCGGGGGACAACTTTTTATGGGCAAAATGGAGTACATGTATACAATAATAGTAATAAGAAGAAACCTAAGGAGCTTGGCTTTTAATCTTTTCCAGAATGGATTCTGATTGTATATCCAAGTGTGTCCAAGGTGTGTCCCTCCCATACACGTCCAAAAGAAAAAATAACAAAATATACTAGACATGTTTTTTTCATGTCGGACATTAGAGGAGAAAGGAACCAAACCAAACCAGATTAGGTTTAATCAACTTTTTAAGCTATTAAGACCGAACTGAACCGCATTGACTCAATTGCAATTTTAGGGTTTCCAACGCCATTCCTTCCCTTTAGTGTTACTTCAGCTTTTGTTCTCTCTCTCTCTCGCTTAATCTCTTTCCATCGTTGCTCCCTCCCTTTAGCAACAACGAGCCACTGTTGCTCCCTTTGGTAACAACCAGCCGCCGTTGACTCCTTTCACCATTGATTACCCAACCACATCGACTCCATCCACTGTTGATTACCCAGCAGCATTACCTTCAGTCGACAACTCAGTCGTGTCAACTCATTCTGCTGTCGATTCCCAGCTTCCATCAAAAATTTTGTTTGTTTCTCTCGGTACGAACTGTTAAAAGGGCATGAGGTAAGATTTGAACTGTTAACAGGAAGATTTTCTTCTTGCCCCAGTCTCTCTTTCTCTCTCTCTCTCTCTCTCTCTCTCTCTCTCGTTCCTTCTTGTTCTCGATGTTGGGCATTTTTATCCAGATAAGAAGATGTGTTGGGCCAGTGAGAAATATGGTTTTAGAAGGGAAGTGAGGATAGATTAGTGGGTTCTTCTTCTTCTTCTTCCTCATCACTTCTTTTTTTGGGAGTTTGATGAACTTTGAAAGACGGATCAAAAGATTGAAAAATAAGAGTGACAGAAATGAAAACTGGTTGCAGAATAAAAAAACTAGCTTGAAGAGGAATTGAGAGAGAGGGAGGGAGATCAAAGTGGAGGCAAGAGATGGAAAAAGGAAAAAGAGAGTTGACCAAACTTGAACCCAGCTCATTTCAAACTCAGGCCAGGTTGGTTTATTTTTCCGTGGAAGTCAGGTCGTTCGGTTTTGCAGGAAAAAACTAACCCCTTTTCATTCCGGTCCGACGTGTCTGTGCTTAGATGGAATTAAACGAGCAATTTTTACACATCACAACAGAAAGGAAGTCTCCTACTTATAAAAACAGGAAAAAAGAACATTATTGTAACCAAAAACTGCCTACATGCAAGGAAACACGACAAGGTAATTACTATCAAGAGATTAAAGAAAGAAGGGTGAATTTTACTTCTTTTGCTAATCAATAAAAAAAGATATTCGTGAATGGATACCTAAAAACTTTAGATATAGGCTTCGATAATTTAATAGAGGATTACAATTAATATCATACAGCATACCCTAACCTCACCCCCACAAATGAGGAGAGCATTAATCTGGAATCTAGGGGTAGAAGATTTATGACAGATTATAGTGCGCTATATAACCCTTCACATACCTCTTCCATCAGACGCTCGGAAATTGTCTTTGTCAAGGCTGGAGAAGAACCTTTACCCTTGTCTTCATCGGGCTGCCAGAAAGTACAAGGAAAAAAATCATTTTTGCTTACATCTTAGTATTTGATTGAAGGGGTAAACATGCTAAGGTAAAGTAAACAACCTTAGTTGGTGGCACTATGAAGGAAAGTTGATAATATACAGGCATCTTCCGTGAATTTTCCTTAACATTTGAACTAAAAATACCTAGCTTTGCATATGAGATAGCTCCCGACAGAACCGACCCATGAGGAGAATTCTGAAATAAATCAACAAATATTTTACTAATCCAGAAATTGTAGTAGCAAGAAGTAGCAAGAATTAGAAGGAAATAGATCACAAATAAGCCATTTGTTGTCTTCTATAGTTGGAATTTTCCTCCTGTACGTAAGCTCTCAATGAAATATTTCATACAAGGCCTCCTTTCAGTGATTCTAGGCAGCCAACTTGATACACTGTATGTGAAGTATTAAATGCTTATTTGAAAATAATGAAATAAAGAATATTATAATACCTTGGGAAACTTATCTTTTGATGGTGGGCCCAAATAGAATGCTTCTTTTTTCCTACCAAAGAAAATGAACCAAATTGAGTCTTGAACAGAGCTATTGAACAAAAGGGAAAGTTTTCACAACAGCATACCCAGGAACTAAAACTGAGGATTTGTAAGCACCATTCCCCATCATAGGACCATCAGGTAGAGAGAAAAAGCTCAATTTAATGGAATCCTATATCAAATCAAGAATAAAGTTTAGCATTTAAGTAAAATTTCCATCGACATTATTATCGATCAACAAGATTGCACAATAGGCCAATATACTACTAATACGAGCCAAGAGTTATTGTGGACTAAAATGCGGAAGAAGCTCAAAAAGCACAGACGATTGTTAAATCTGATGACAAACAATAGCAGTCCCCCCNNCCCCCCCCCCCCCCCCCCCTCCAGACAAAAAAAGGTGGGAGAAAGATATCAAAAGGCACGTGTAAATAACAAGTAAAATCATACTCATATGGGAAGTTCTAATGGAAATTTCTCTGCTTCCTATACAGGCAATTAGATCAGACAACCATCTAAGAGAGAATCAAGAAAGCAAGTTGTGGAATCTACACAAACAAACAAACAAACAAAAAGCTCTCAAAATTTCTAAGATGTTACCTTCTCGTCCAATTTTCTTTCTATAAACACCACCAACTGCTTCATTTTTTCCAGACATTGCACGTCCTCGTGCCTGGAAATCAAAGGAGATTCTAAGAGATCGAGAACATTGTAGATTGAGAACACTGTAGACTACGTTAGAACATGTCTGGACCATGAGCAAATTCTAAGCTGTAAAGATCAACGACACAAATTTGAGAAGATAGCAAATTTCTCCGTATGTAAGTTGGCGTTCTTAACAAAGGTTAACCCATATATTAATTGAACAAGTACACTTCCAAAAAACTTCCTTGTACAATGGTAATAAATTTGTCCAAATTAAATATGTTTGACTAATTTCAGACACGGCTTGGACATGGCTCTAGAAAAAAACAAACCAAAAAATTAGGAGGAAAAAATAGAGATTCTCGACTTTAATCCTTATAGTATTAGAATGACATCTTCCCCTGTCATAGCCAACTAAATCCTTCTGTATCTTTTAAGTTCAAATATCATTAATTGACTAAACTTGATAGGTTTTTAGTGAAATATTTTTTTATAGGAGAGAACTTCATTGATATATTATTACTTCAGCTTTAAAACACTTTGCACTTCAACAGAACGATCTGAAAACCAATCTAGAAACCAGCAATACATCCTAAAGACCTACGAATTAATCAGCATGTA